ATTTCCTGCCACGGTCAACATCACGTGACGCCTGCACCGGTTCTGTATCTCCACTAGCTTCATTAAAAACAGATAAGAGCGCTGGGGAGACAAAGGCGGCTAGGCGCGAGGGATAGGCCACACCACCACGAATGTGCGCCGTCCTGGTCTTCATAGGTGCTCACTAACGGCACTTTCCACGAAACAAGTTACGTAAGCTGTGTGGGAATTCTCTGTCAGTGTGTGTGTGTGCGTGTTCTCAGTCAGCCAACCCACAACACCTAGGTCTGTCGCGTGACCCTCCTGCCAGCCAGCGAGCCTGCGATACTTCAAGTGACAGCCTCCAAGTATACCTAGCCTGGCACAAGCGTCAATGTCAATTCCTCATGTCCCACCTAGAGAACACTTGGGTCTGCAGGAGCGAGGAGATCCTGGGGCTGTGCGGACGAGACGGGAGCTGGGGGGTGGGGAGCCACATCCGGAGAGGCGGGGGGGGGAGGCCCTGGTGGGAGACGCTGGGACCCCCCTGAGCCCCCCTGCGTGGCCACGGCTCCAGCTGCTGAACTCTCTCTTGTCTCCCACCAAGTCTTCCACCCTCCGCGTCTCCCACCTGTCCACCATGAGCCCCCCCCGCCCACCCTTACCCCGTCTCCCTCTCACACCTGGCTCACGCTAGGTACGTAGCCAGTCTTGGCCCCGCGCCCCAGCCCCATGTACTCCGGGTTCTGCGCCGACGGCCCCATCCCGGCGCTGCCGCCGCCGCCGCCGGCCTTGCCCAGCGACACCGCCGCCCCGTTGGGCAGCAGCAGCTGCCCCCGCGCGTGCTTCCTGTGCCACACGACGGCCCTGGCGGGCACCGTGTCGTAGCAAGGCGGCCCCAGCGCCGCGCCGCCCCCGGCCGGCCGGCCTCCCGCGGGCGTGGCCACCATCGTGGCCGAGCCCCGCAGGGCGCCGGACTTCCCCAGCAGCCGGCCCGGCGGTGCCAGCCGGTACCCGTTGGGCGGCCGCGCCAAAGCCGCCGGTTCCGTCGTCGTCGCCGTCGTCGCAGCGGCGGCGATCGCGGCGGCGGCTCGGTTGAGGTTGCCACCGCCGCCGCCGGGAGCAGCAGCAGAGGTGCTCCCGCTGCTTGCACCGCCACCGTCTCTGCCCCCGCCGCCGCCGGCCCTGACGCGCGGAGCCGCCGAACCAGCACCGCCACCGCCGGGGCAGCCGGCTCCTCCGTGCTGGGACGCCAGACGTTCGCAGTTCACCGCGGGCCGGAGCGACGGCGCCCGCTCCCGGCCCGCGGTGCCCGTCGCGCCGACCGCCGGGCCCGGCTCGCCCGGCGGCCGGCGCGGCGAGGGCAACACCTGGAAACTGGTTTCGGCCACGCGGCTCATCGCATCGTCGTCGTCGTCGATGACGGAGCCCGGCGGCGGCGGTGGCGGCGGTGGCGCCGGTGGCGGCTCGGCGGCGGCGGCGAGGGAGGTGCGGCGCGAGCGCCGGCAGTCGCGCTCCCACGCCGCGTTCAGGTACGGCGGCTCGCGCGGAGCGAAGCCGCCGACGCCGCCGACGAGGACGCCGACGCCGACGCCGCCGCCGCCTGTCACGGGCCCCGCGATGGCGGCGATGGCGGCGACGATGGTGGCGGAGGAGGCGGCGGTGGTGGTGGAGGAGGAGGAGGCGAGCGGAGCGTCCGTCCGCTCGCCGAGTCGGAGGAGCGACGTCGCAAGGGGAGACGGCGTCACGAAGGGGTTGTCCTCGATGGGATTCACGTACTCTGCACGGGGGTGGGGGAGGGGGGGGGGCGCCTAATCGTCAACCTCGTCGCTGTGGTCGCCACCCATCGTCGTCGTCATCACACACACGTGGGATCTTGTTGCCACTACGATGATGGTGATGATGATGATAACCGATCATTGCTAATTGGGTCAAGTCACGAGAACGGTGCTGGTGGAGGCGATCGTGGTGGCTGCAGGGTGCTGGGGAGGTGCGGTGGTGGTAGTAGAGACGTGGCGATCGCACCCCCCCAGACCCCCTACCTCCTCCCCCACCCCCGTGCCCCCACCCCCGTGCCCCCACCCCCGTGCCCCCCACCCCCGTGCCCCCACCCCCGTGCCCCCACCCCCGTGCTCCCCACCTCCCCCGGCCCCCCCTCCCCCCCCGTACCGGGCACGGCGCCGTCGTGGCTGGGCAGGATGTACACGTCCTCGTCCGGACTCGAGTGCCTCTCTGCGGGGGGCCTGCCCCCCCCGGCGGCGGGGGGCCGCGTGGGCTCCGAGCTGTAGCGCTGCCTCGTGCCCTCCGCTCGCCCCCTCGGCCCCGCGCCCAACAGCGGCGGTGGCAGGGCCCCCCCCCTCCGGGCGGGGCCCCCACCCGAGGGCCCGGGCCTCACGCAGAGCGGCAGGAAGAGCCGGTCGGAGCAGGCGACGGAGGGGGCGGTAGGGGGGCTCCCTGGAGGGGGCAGGCCGGCCGCGGCCCCCCTTTCGTTGTCGTAGTCCGAGGGTAGCACGCATAGCTGGGGGGAGGGGGAGTGGGGGGGGGGCGGGGGGACATCGTCATCTTCGTCATCATCATCATCATCGTCCATGATTCATCCACTGCTTCACGGATATGTGATGTGCGTTGTGGCGTGTTATTTTCTTGCGAAGTGGCGCTGGGTGCTGTCTGGTGTGTTGTTGTGGTGTGTTGTGCGTTGTGGTGTGCTGCGTGTTTTGTGTTGCGGTGTGTTGTGGTGTGTTGCGTCGTGGCTCACCCCACTCATCGGCATGTACGTAGGCGGGATGCTGGCTCCGGCCTGGGCCTGTGCAGCGCACACACGGGGGGGGGGGAAGGGGAGATGCACAGGGTCACGCAGGGGTCACGAAGACTTCAACTCCTGACGTTTCAATCACGCATCGACAACTCGGAGCCACTTCCCGCTGCTCGCACAAGCGTCGAGGCATCAACGCTCATCTCCCGTTTGCAGCCATGCAGAGCCAGCGGTGGAAGTTCCACTTTCCTATGACGAGGGCGCGTCTATTTATCGGACAAGCAGCGTTGCCCTCCCCCACAATGCGGTTCTCATTTTATCGGCCCGGGAGGGAGGGAGGGAGGGAGGGGGATGGTGATGGGCTGAGTCAACCGCCCCAGGATTTGACCTCGCGACCTTCCGAGGGCAGGCCGCTCGCTCCGCGCTCGGCGGCCTGGCTTAATCTCGGGAGGTCAAAGGTCACGGAACGAGGTGGGGTAGGGGGGGATGGCAACAAGCTCTGTTGACACCAGCACAACAACCGCAACAACAACAACAACACCAACCGCAGTAACAACAACACCAACCGCAGTAACAACAACAACAACACCAACCGCAGTAACAACAACAACAACCGCAACAACAACACCAACCGCAGTAACAACAACAACAACAACTGCAACAACAAGAACAACAACCGCAGTTACAACAACAGCAGCAGCAGGACAGCACCAGCGGCAGAAGGAAAACAGCAGAAGGACAGACGGACGTTCTTCCGTCTCAGTGTGGCTGGAAGAATTCCCCCAGAAGGTGGTTGTTGTTGTTGTGGTGGCCTGTTCCTGGGCCTCTTGTCGTTGTTGCGGTGGTGGTGGTGGTGGTGGCGGCGGCGGTGAGGCCAGCTTCTCACCCAGGGTCCAGCCAGCTCGAGCGAGGCTGTCGAACCAAAGAAGATTTGACGGTGCCGGTGGTGGCGCTGCTGTGGCTGCTGCTGCTGCTGCTGGTGGTTGTGGTGCGGCCCGTTCTCTTTGTGCCACCGCTGGGGGACGAAGTACTCGTCCACCTCCAGGAGGTTACCGTCGCCCGCCACCTCGCCGTCGTCGTAGGCGAGCAGCGCCTGCAGGACGCGCGCCTCCGTGGGGCTGGGCAGGCACAGCGAGCCGTCGCGCTGAGGCACGCGGGGCCCACCACCCCACAGACGCAACCCACGCCGCCACCGCCACCACCACCACCGGACCACCACGGGGGACGACGCGTGGCGGGGGGGGGGGGGAGGGACGCCACCGCCAGCGTCGAACGATGGACGATGGGGGGGGGGGGGGGGCGGGGGGGTGGGGAATGGACACACAAACAAGCACACAAACAAACAAAAAAAACACAAACAGAACGTAAACTAAAGCGAACCAAAGTGAACGCAGACAGAACACGCAAATGTATGAATGATGGCGAATGCGTGCGGGCGAGCGTGTGAGACGGTGGGAGAGGGCTGAGGGGCAGGGGGTGGTTGAAGATTTTTCTCAAACTGTTTGGGGCAAGTGCTGTAAGCGAGCAGCGCCTACGAAGGCCGGCACAGCGCACGGGAGGGGGGCGGGTGGCCAGCACCACGCCCGGCCGCCGTTCTCTCCCGAGTGGCGATGTTTACTACACACGGCTTCAGCTACCGTCGATGCTAAGGGAGGCCCACGACCTGTTCGGATAATTATTGCCACCGGTGTTGGCCGAGAGCGGGAATTGATCTCGGGTCGCGGCTTTGTGCGGTTGGACAGGCAGAGGGTGAGACGGAGAGATAAACGGAGAGACAAAGAGATGGAGAGAGACAGACAGCGTGAGCTAGAGGGAGATACAGACAGACAGAGAGACGGAGAGAGAGTGAGCTAGAGGGAGAGACAGACGGCGAGAGATGGAGAGAGCGAGGGAGAGGGAGAAGGGGCGGGGGGGGTCAGTGAGCAGGGCGTCTGTACGGTGAATGAAAACCAACTCAGAAGCATGGAGAAGTAGCATGGGGGTCATGTGGAGGTGACGTGGGCACCGGGTGTAATAGCAGAAGCAGCAGCAAGGCCCCCCCCCCCCCAAAGACCTCCCCCCTCTGCACCCCCCCCAGCCAACCGGCCTCACCTGGATGACGAGGTAGCGCTGGGGGTCTCGCGCCATCTTGGAGAACTCTGTGGCGAGCTCGCGGAATCGCGGGCGGCTGTCGGCGTCGATCATCCAGCCTGCGCAGGGAGGGCAACCCCCAGAGGGTCAACAACACGGTGGACCACCCAGACGGTCTACCATGAGGTGGTGGACTACTCGATGGTCTTCCGTCAGATGTTGGACTGCCAGATGGTGGACCACCAGATGTTGGACCACCAGATTGTGGACCACCAGATGGTAGACCACCATATGTTGGACCACCAGATTGTGGACCACCAGATGTTGGACCACCGGATGTTGGACCACTATATGTTTGACCACTGGATGGTGGACCACCGGATGTTGGACCACCAGATTGTGGACCAGCAGATGCTGGACCAGCAGATGGTGGACCACCAGATGTGTGAGCGAGTGTCTCTGGTGGATCTCGGAGACTCACATTTCACCATGATCATGTAGACGTCGATGGTGCAGATGGGCGGCTGTGGGAGCCGCTCCCCCTTCTCCAGGAGCTCCGGGATTTCCCGCGCAGGAATCCCCTCATACGGCTTCCCCCCAAACGTCATCAGCTCCCACACCGTCACACCTGTAGCATCGCACGACACCATAACGCTACACCGCACCGTCACACCTGGAACATCACACCACTCCTCATGGTCACACCTGCAGCATCACACCACCCCGCGCCATCACACCTGCAGCATCACAACAACCGTTCACCATCACCCCTGCAACGTCACACCACCCTTCGTCACACCTGCAGCGTCATGCCACACCGTGACACCACGCCTGCAGCATCCCACCACTTCTCACTGTCACACCTGAGTGATAAGATCACAGTATGTGCTCGCCACATCACCCCTTCGTGCACCACGCCAGCATTCGTAGGTGCTACTTTTTGTCAACGTCACTTGCCAAACAGCCGCTTGAGGGCTACACGGGGCACCTTTGTCCGTGTCGTCTCACCGTAGCTCCACACGTCGCTCTGGTGCGTGAACGTGCGGTACTGGATCGACTCCAGCGCCATCCACTTAATGGGCATCTGTGAGATGGGGGGGACACACAGGAAGACGTGGGAACACAGAGGGGGACGCGGGGAGACACGGGGACACACGGGGAGGAGGAGGAGGAGACACGGGGGCACGTGGGGAGACGCGGGAGACATCGATGTCGTGAACAGCGATGAGGTTGACAACGCCGCTGATATTTCGCGATGATGCTGCCGGTGCTGCCGGTGCTGCCGGTGCTGCCGGTGCTGCCGGTGCTGCCGGTGCTGCCGGTGAAGCGCACCTTGCCGCTGTCCGCCTGGTACTCGTCCTGGTTGACGTCGAGGAGCCGCGCCAGCCCGAAGTCGGTGATCTTGACGTGCTGCGGCGTCTTCACCAGGACGTTCCGCGCCGCCAGGTCCCGGTGCACGAGGCGGCGCTCCTCCAGGTACATCATGCCCTACGCACGTACGCACGCACGGGTACGTCATCCCCTACGCACGCGCGGGTACGTCATCCCCTACGCACGCGCGGGTACGTCATCCCCTACACACGCACGCACGCACGCACGCACGCACAGGTACGTCATCACTTACACACGCACGGTTACATCATGCCCTATGCACGCACGCGCGCACGCACGCACGCACGCACGCACGGGTATGTCATGCCCTACACACGCACGGGTACATCATGCCCTACGCACACACGCACAGGTACGTCATGCCCTACACATGCACGGGTACGTCATCTCCTACACACGCACGGGTACGTCATCCCCTACACACGCACGGGTACGCAATCCCCTACACACGCACGGGTACGTCATCCCCTACACACGCACGGGTACGCAATCCCCTACACACACACGGGTACGTCATCTCCTACACACGCACGGGTACGTCATCCCCTACACACGCACGGTTACATCATCCCCTACACACGCACGGGTACGTCATCCCCTACACACGCGCGGGTACGTCATCCCCTACACACGCGCGGGTACGTCATCCCCTACACACGCGCGGGTACGTCATCCCCTACACACGCGCGTGCCACTGTGCGTGCCGTACCTTGGCGATCTGCACACACCAGTTGAGCAGCAGCTGGGAGCCGATGGCGTCGCGGTGGCGCCGCGTGTACTCCAGCAGGCAGCCGAGCGGCATGAGCTGCGTCACGAGCTGCACGCTGGGCGCCAGGCACACGCCCAGCAGGCGCACCAGGTGGGGGTGCTCCACGCTCGCCATCACGTACGCCTCCTGCTCGCCGCGGGTACACCGCAACAGCGCGGAAGATGGGCAACGGGGCATTCCCATCGCGCGGGGCGAACCCATCGCGCGGGGCGTTGCCATCACGTGGGACATCCAGATCACAAATTAAGGGAGAATTGTTAGAGCTATAAAAAATTTAAAGCCAACTCCGCCTCCTCCTCCTGCAACACCCCTACCCGCAGCCCTGCAGCACTCACATCCAGGATCTCCTTGTTGGCACGGGGCGATGTCCCCTCTCGCAGCACCTTGATCGCCACCTGGATCTTCACAGATTCCCCCTCGGGCACCCAGACACCCTGCACCACGAGGTGGGACACGGTGGTACACACGGGGAGACACACGGGAAGACACGGGGAGACACCGGCATGCACGGAGGGACACACGGGGAGAGATACCGGGGGGGACGCACGTGAGGACACACGGGGGGACACATGGGAAGACACGCGGGGAACACATGAGGGGACACACAGGGGGGACACGAGGGGGAGACACACGGGGAGACACGGGGAGAGATACCGGGGGACGCACGGGAGGACGCACAGGAAGACACACGGGAAGAGATACGGGGACACACGGGGTGGGACACAAGGGGGAGACATGGGGAGACACACGGAGGGACATACGGGGAGAGATACCAGGGGGGGACACACGGGGGGACACACACACGGGGAGACAAAGGAAAGGCCGGGAACCTTTAAGGCTGACGCCGCTGCCTCAAAGTCACGCCACACCAAGAGACAGGAGGCCACACCACCGTGGCCACACAGGAGGGGCTCAGTGCGTGCGACACAGCGGGCATGTCGCAGGCTCACAGGAAGTAGACTGAGCACGTGGCACCGCGGGGGGGGGGGGGGGGTGGGCGCGGCACCTTAGGGGGTGGGGGGGGCGCGTACCTTGTGCACGGTGCCGAAGGCGCCCGAGCCGAGCTCGCTGCCGCGCCGCAACTCCGTCTCCTTGAGGATGCGCAGCTGCGCCTGGTTGGGCGCCACTCCGCTCGGGGTGAGCGGCTGGACCAGCTGCGTCGGTGGCGGCGGCGGCGGCACACGCACACACGCGCACACGCACACACGCACACACGCACACACGCGCACACGCACACACGCACACACGCACACACGCACACACGCGCACACGCACACACGCGCACACGCACACACGCGCACACGCACACACGCACACACGCACACACGCACACACGCGCACACGCACACACGCGCACACGCACACACGCACACACGCACACACGCACACACGCGCACACGCACACACGCGCACACGCACACACGCACACACGCACACACGCACACACGCGCACACAAGCAGAGGTGAAGGTCCCCCCCCGGGTAGCACCGCGCAGGCTCTCGGGGCAAACGCTGGCACCGGCCCGGCCGGCTTGTGGCGTCACCGCCGCGCAATGGCCCGTTCACGTACGTGCCAGATGACCGGCCAGCGAAGACGTTCTTCAAATAATGTAGCACGATAATAATTGGGCACATTTCATGTTCGCGCTCAGAGCGCACTTAGGAAGTCTGTGGGGGGAGGAGGGAGTGGGGGGGGCGGGGGGCGACTTGGCACTGCGTGCGATCCCAATCGAGCGCACCAGCGGGTTTAAGTTTTCATTTGTGGCAAAACGTGGGCCGTGGGCAACGTGGGCCGTGGGCAACGCGGGCCGTGGGCAACGCGGGCCGTGGGCAACGCGGGCCGTGGGCAACGCGGGCGTTGAACCGCACCCGCAGTGCTAACCAGGGCGGCCCGCCGGAAGTCGAACTGCCAGCAGCACCACAGGGGGGTCGCTTCGAGGGAGTTTCGTCATCTTGAAACCCGCGGGTCTCGCTGGGCTCACCTCCTCGTCGCGGATGATCCTGCGCATCACCCTCTTGTTGGCGATGCGGCGCCGCCGCAGCCACAGGCCGGCGAGGATGACGACGAGGCCCACGACGAGGACGCCGCCCACCACCCCGAACGCGACGAGCGGCACGCGCGAGCTGCACCCACAGGGACGCGCACGGGGGGAGGCGCACGGGGGGAGACACACACACGGGGAGACACACACACACGGAGACACACACGGGGAGACACACACACGGGGAGACACACACACACGGGGACACACAAACGGGGAGACACACACGGAGACACACACGGAGACACACACGGGGAGACACACACGGAGGGACACACACACAGACGGGGAGACACACACACACGGAGGGACACACACGGGGAGACACACACACACGGAGACACACACGGGGAGACACACACACGGGGAGACACACACACACGGGGACACACAAACGGGGAGACACACACGGAGACACACACGGAGACACACACGGGGAGACACACACGGAGGGACACACACACAGACGGGGAGACACACACACACGGAGGGACACACACGGGGAGACACACACACACGGAGACACACACGGGGAGACACACACACGGGGAGACACACACACACGGGGACACACAAACGGGGAGACACACACGGAGACACACACGGAGACACACACGGGGAGACACACACGGAGGGACACACACACAGACGGGGAGACACACACACACGGAGGGACACACACGGGGAGACACACACACACGGAGACACACACGGGGAGACACACACACGGAGACACACACAAGGGGAGACACACACACGGGAAGACACACACACGGAGACACACGGAGACACACACACGGGGAGACACACACGGGAAGACACACACGGAGACACACACACACGGAGACACACACACACGGAGACACACGGGGAGACACACACGGGGAGACACACACACACGGAGGGACACACACGGGGAGACACACACACACGGGGAGACACACACGGGGAGACACACACACGGAGACACACACACGGGGAGACACACACACACGGAGACACACACACACGGAGACACACGGGGAGACACACACACGGGGAGACACACATACGGGAAGACACACACACGGGAAGACACACACGGAGACACACACACACGGAGACACACACACACACGGGGAGACACACACGGGGAGACACAGAAACAGGAATGGGTGGGGACACACAGAGAGAGAGAGGGAGAGAGTGAGACACACGTGGACACACGGAGATTCAAAGTCACTCCCACACGAGAGAGACGTCCAGTGCGATCTGAGCCCCTGTGGACCCCAGCATGTTGGCGGTGATCTCCAGGGGAACGTCAGCGGGAGACTTCTCTCTGGCAGCGGCAGCAGCACAGCGGTGGCGCTGCTGGAGCGGCAGGCACGTTTGAGTGTCACGTGACACTCGTGTTAATTGGCCGTGGTCGGGTGGAGGAGGGGATACGAGACACGTTTTTTTCGCCCAGAAAAAAACGATCGCGAAGTCACTGCGAAAGGTCACCGCCGTAATGATCATCATCATCATCATCGTCACCGTCACCACCATTGTCTTCTTCATCGCCGTCGTCACTGTTGTCATCATTGGACGAGATTGATGATCCACTGCTTGATAGTTTCCCCCGCCCAAGCCATCGCCGCGGTCTGTCCTCACCATCTCGCGACCCTCCCTCCCTCCCCACCTCCCTCCCTCCCCACCTCCCTCCCTCCCTCCCCACCTCCCTCCCTCCCCACCTCCCTCCCTCCCCACCTCCCTCCCTCCCCACCTCGCTCCCTCCCCACCTCCCTCCCTCCCTCCCCACCTCCCTCCCTCCCTCCCCACCTCCCTCCCTCCCTCCCTACCTCCCTCCCTCCCCACCTCCCTCCCTCCCTCCCTCCCCACCTCCCTCCCTCTCTCCCCACCTCCCTCCCTCCCTCCCTCCCCACCTCCCTCCCTCCCTCCCCACCTCCCTCCCTCTCTCCCCACCTCCCTCCCTCCCTCCCTCCTCACCTCCCTCCCTCCCTCCCTCCCTCCCTCCCCACCTCTCTCCCTCCCTCCTCACCTCCCTCCCTCCCTCCCTCCCTCCTCACCTCTCTCCCTCCCTCACCTCCTCACCTCCCTCCCTCCCTCCCTCCCTCCCTCCCTCCCTCCCTCCCTCCCTCCCTCCCTCCCTCCCTCCCTACCTCCCTCCCTCCCTCCCTCCCTCCTCACCTCCCTCCCTCCCTCCCTCCCTCCTCACCTCTCTCCCTCCCTCACCTTCCCACCTCCCCCCTCCCTCCCTCCCTCCTCACCTCACCTCCTTCCCTCCCTCCCTCCCTCCTCACCTCCCTCCCTCTCTCCCCACCTCCCTCCCTCCCTCCCTCCCTCCCCACCTCCCTCCCTCCCTCCCTCCCTCCCTCCCTCACCTCCCTCCCTCCCTCCCCACCTCCCTCCCCACCTCCCTCCCTCCCTCCTCACCTCCCTCCCTCCCTCCCCACCTCCCTCCCTCCCCTCCCTCCCTCCCTCCCTCCCTCCCTCCTTCCTCACCTCCCTCCCTCCCTCCTCACCTCTCTCCCTCCCTCCTCACCTCCCTCCCTCCCTCCCTCCCTCCTCACCTCTCTCCTTCCCTCACCTCCTCACCTCCCTCCCTCCCTCCCTCCCTCCCTACCTCCCTCCCTCCCTCCTCACCTCCCTCCCTCCCTCCCTCCCTCCTCACCTCTCTCCCTCCCTCACCTCCCCACCTCCCCCCTCCCTCCCTCCCTCCTCACCTCACCTCCTTCCCTCCCTCCCTCCCTCCCTCCCCACCTCCCTCCCTCCCTCCCCACCTCCCTCCCTCCCCTCCCTCCCTCCCTCCCTCCCTCCCTCCCTCCTTCCTCACCTCCCTCCCTCCCTCCTCACCTCTCTCCCTCCCTCCTCACCTCCCTCCCTCCCTCCCTCCCTCCTCACCTCTCTCCCTCCCTCACCTCCTCACCTCCCTCCCTCCCTCCCTCCCTCCCTCCCTACCTCCCTCCCTCCCTCCTCACCTCCCTCCCTCCCTCCCTCCCTCCCTCCTCACCTCTCTCCTCCCTCACCTCCCCACCTCCCCCTCCCTCCCTCCCTCCTCACCTCCCTCCCTCTCTCCCCACCTCCCTCCCTCCCTCCCTCCCCACCTCCCTCCCTCCCTCCCTCCCTCACCTCCCTCCCTCCCCACCTCCCTCCCCACCTCCCTCCCTCCCTCCTCACCTCCCTCCCTCCCTCCCCACCTCCCTCCCTCCCCTCCCTCCCTCCCTCCCTCCTTCCTCACCTCCCTCCCTCCCTCCTCACCTCTCTCCCTCCCTCCTCACCTCCCTCCCTCCCTCCCTCCCTCCTCACCTCTCTCCCTCCCTCACCTCCTCACCTCCCTCCCTCCCTCCCTCCCTCCCTACCTCCCTCCCTCCCTCCCTCCTCACCTCCCTCCCTCCCTCCCTCCCTCCTCACCTCTCTCCCTCCCTCACCTCCCCACCTCCCCCCTCCCTCCCTCCCTCCTCACCTCACCTCCTTCCCTCCCTCCCTCCCTCCTCACCTCCCTCCCTCTCTCCCCACCTCCCTCCCTCCCTCCCTCCCTCCCTCCCTCCCCACCTCCCTCCCTCCCTCCCTCCCTCACCTCCCTCCCTCCCTCCCCACCTCCCTCCCCACCTCCCTCCCTCCCTCCTCACCTCCCTCCCTCCCTCCCCACCTCCCTCCCTCCCCTCCCTCCCTCCCTCCCTCCCTCCTTCCTCACCTCCCTCCCTCCCTCCTCACCTCTCTCCCTCCCTCCTCCCTCCCTCCCTCCTCCCTCCTCACCTCCCTCCCTCACCTCCCTCCCCACCTCCCTCCCTCCCTCCCCGACGGCGCCCCTTCCACGCCTCCCCAAACCGAACGGATTCTTCACCACCAATCAGGACGCGGCCGGTGAAGTCGGCGGACAGCACGGTCGTGATGAACGCGCAGGGGGGGGGGGGGGGGGGGGGGGGGGGGGGGGGGGGGGGGGGGAGTCGGTGGTGGAGGAGGGAGCGAGGGAGGGGAGGGGGGAGCTTACAAAATATAAAGCGTAAACAACAACGGATGGGACTGGGGGGGGGGGGGCTGGAGGGTTAGGGGGCTGAGGGGAGGGGGCTGGGGGCTGGGGGGGAGGGGGCTGGGGGGGAGGGGGCTCCGTGGTAACGGAGAGGCGCGGTAACCTTGGTGGACGCCCGCGCCGCCTAACGAATGGGTTTAATAATCGAGTTGGGCAGCCCCAGAAGTGGATTCCGCCGCCGCCGGCGGAGGGAGAGCGAGATTTATGTCTCCGTGCGGGGGCCGCGGGGGGAGCCGCGGGGATCCGCGGTGATCCGCGGGGGTGGCGCGAGGAGTCACGGGGAGCCGCGGGGGAACCGAGGGGGGCCGAGGGGGGCCGAGGGGGGCCCGAGGGGGGCCGGCACCGCCACGCCCGAGGTGCGGAGGGGCGCCCCGACCACGTCGGCCTCCCGGCGCGGCAGCTCAAACGAAGCGTCCCGGGGGTGGCCGCAGAGGTCGGCGGCCCCGAGTCTGGGTTCTCATCCGGGTTCAGCCGCCCAACCGCAGCGGTGGCACCGGGGTCGTGAGTGGGGCGCGTCGATGGTCTCAGCGCGGTCACCAATGATTGACGTAGAGACCCAGAGACGTGGGGGTGGGCGGAGGGGGTGCATAGGGTCCCCACGCGTCCAGGGTCGTGCATCAGATCTGTCTGTCTCTGCGTGTCCGCATCTCCGTGTCTCCGTGTCTCTGTCTCCGTGTCTCCGTGTCTCCGTGTCTCCTTGTCTCCTTGTCTCTTTGTCTCTTTGTCTCTTTGTCTCTCTGTCTCTTTGTCTCTTTGTCTCTGTCTCTCTGTCTCTTTGTCTCTTTGTCTCTTTGTCTCCGTGTCTCCGTGTCTCCGTGTCTCCGTGTCTCCGTCTCTGTGTCTCTGTGTCTCTGTGTCTCTGTGTCTCTGTCTCTGTGTCTCTGTGTCTCTGTCTCTGTGTCTCTGTCTCTGTGTCTCTGTCTCTGTGTCTCTGTCTCTGTCTCTGTGTCTCTGTGTCTCTGAGTCTCTGCGTCTCTGTGTCTCCGTGTCTCCGTGTCTCCGTGTCTCCGTGTCTCTGAGTCTCTGCGTCTCTGTGTCTCTGAGTCTCTGCGTCTCTGTGTCTCCGCGTCTCTGTGTCTCCGTGTCTCTGTCTCCGTGTCTCCGTGTCTCCGTGTCTCTGTGTCTCTGTCTCCGTGTCTCTGTGTCTCTGTCTCCGTGTCTCCGTGTCTCCGTGTCTCTGTCTCCGTGTCTCTGTGTCTCTGTGTCTCTGTCTCTGTCTCCGTGTCTCTGTCTCCGTGTCTCTGTCTCCGTGTCTCCGTGTCTCCGTGTCTCTGTCTCTGTCTCCGTGTCTCTGTGTCTCTGTCTCCGTGTCTCTGTCTCCGTGTCTCTGTGTCTCTGTCTCTGTGTCTCTGTCTGTGTCTCCGTGTCTCTGTGTCTCTGTCTCCGTGTCTCCGTGTCTCCGTGTCTCTGTCTCTGTGTCTCCGTGTCTCTGTGTCTCTGTCTCCGTGTCTCCGTGTCTCTGTGTCTCTGTCTCCGTGTCTCTGTGTCTCTGTCTCCGTGTCTCCGTGTCTCTGTGTCTCTGTCTCCGTGTCTCCGTGTCTCTGTGTCTCTGTCTCCGTGTCTCTGTCTCTGTGTCTCTGTCTCCGTGTCTCCGTGTCTCTGTGTCTCCGTGTCTCTGTCTCTGTGTCTCTGTGTCTCTGTCTCTGTGTCTCTGTCTCCGTGTCTCTGTGTCTCTGTCTCCGTGTCTCCGTGTCTCTGTGTCTCTGTCTCCGTGTCTCTGTCTCTGTCTCTCCGTGTCTCTGTCTCCGTGTCTCCGTGTCCCACCTGCTGCTAGGACCGCTCGTGATCTCCTGCCAGCTCCTGCGGCAGTCGGCCTCTGTGTGTCTCTGTCTCTGTCTCCGTGTCTCTGCGTCTCTGTCTCTGTGTCTCTGAGTCTCTGTGTCTCTGTGTCTCTGTGTCTCTGTCTCTGTGTCTCCGTGTCTCTGTGTCTCTCTGTCTCCGTGTCTCTGTCTCCGTGTCTCTGTCTCCGTGTCTCCGTGTCCCACCTGCTGCTAGGGCCGCTCGTGATCTCCTGCCAGCTCCTGCGGCAGTCGGCCTCTGTGGGGCCATCGCACCTGGGGTGGGGATCCAACCAGAGGGGGTGGGGGGGTGGAGTGGTGGTGGTGGTGGTGGGGAGTGGTGGTGGTGTACCCGTTAGACCACAGCCCATCACCTGGTGAACCCGCAACCCCACGCTGCCAGAGCTTCACTCTCACCAGCCTGGCACGCAGCATTGCCCTCCCAGACTCTCTCTCCCGTCGCTCTCTCGCCATCGCTCTCTCTCCATCGCTCTCTCTCTCTCTCCATCGCTCTCTCTCCCGCGCTCTCTCGCCATCGCTCTCTCTCCATCGCTCTCTCTCTCTCTCTCCATCGCTCTCTCTCCATCGATCTCGCTCCCGTCGCGCTCTCCATCGCTCTCTCTCCATCGCTCTCTCTCCCATCGCTCTCTCTCCCGTGCTCTCTCGCCATCGCTCTCTCTCTCCATCACGCTCTCTCCATTGCTCTCTCTCTCCATCGCACTCTCTCTCCATCGCTCTCTCTCCCATCGCTCTCTCTCCATCGCACTCTCTCCCATTACTCTCTCTCTCCATCACTCTCTCCCATCACTCTCTCTCCATCGCTCTATCTCCATCGCTCTCTCTCCATCGCTCTCTCTCTCCATCACTCTCTCCCATCACTCTCTCTCCATCGCTCTCTCTCCCATCGCTCTCTCTCCATCGCTCTCTCTCCCGCGCTCTCTCGCCATCGCTCTCTTTCTCCATCACGCTCTCTCCATTGCTCTCTCTCTCCATCGCTCTCTCTCTCCATCGCTCTCTCGCCATCGCTCTCCCTACCCCTTGGAGCAATTGACGTGGCACAGCTGACACGTTCCGTTGGCGTCGACGAACTTGGAGAGGATGGAGCCCGTGGCGTCGATGACCGCGACCGGACATCGCTCCACGCAGTGCGGACCGTCCCGCACCCTCGCACAGCGCACGCACCGGTCCGCACCCTGGGGCGAGGGGGGGGGGCACGCACAGAGGTCAGCACCCCGCGGGTCACGGGGTCACGGGGCAGGGAGCTGGGGGTAACCAGATCCCGGAACCCATCGACTCCTGCCGCCTGGAATGCTGAGTCCTGGACCACGGGGGACTCCGTGGACGGGGCGGTGGGTGGGCGGTGTGGGGAGGGGGGGGGGTTGTGGGCGGGGGGGGGGGGGGTATGTAACGGACGTTACTGGGCCGTGCCAGGCTAGGTGCACATTGAGGCTAACCGTGCGGTTCGGAGGCAGGCACCCTCCAACAACAGCGGAGGGGGGCCGGAGGAGCGATGCTCACGACAACGTGTGGAGCGCCGGGCGGATGAAACGCAACGAGTTGGCACGGTAGGGGGCACGAGTGGGCAGATCACCTGAGTCGGTCAACCCATGGCACCTGGGTCTGTCCCATGACCTCCTGCCAGGACCGAGCGCCGTCCACACTTCAGGTGACGGCCTCAAGGGCCACCAAGCCTGGCACGAGAGTTACGGTGCGCCCGCTAGAGGTGCAGTGTGGGGGGGGGGGGGGGGGGGGGCTCACCTGACCCGTGCAGGTGAGCGAGCCGTTGATGGGCAGGCACTCGGGGTCGCACGCCACGCACTCCGTACCCTCCACGATCTCCCGGTAGGGCCTGCACATGCCGACGGGACCACACCACTACCGTCACCACCACCACTACTACCGTTACCACCACCACCACCACCATCATGATCACCACCATCACCACCAGCACCACCAGCAGGAGCAACATCACCATCACCACCACCACTATCACCACCAGCAGGAGCAACATCACCACCACCACCATCATCATCACCATCATCACCACCAGCAGCAGCAGCTCGGGTCCTGAGACTATGTGATGGAAGCCTGCGTGAAGGCAGTATCCGGTAGCGCCGGTAGTGCCCAGTGTGACCGGTGGTGGCAGTGCGGCCGGCCGTGCCGGTAGTGCCGATGGCGCCGGTATTATCGGTAGCACCGGTAGTGTCGGTGGCATCAGTTGTGCTGATGGCGCCGGTATTATCGGTAGCGCCGGTCGTGTCGGTATTATCGGTAGCACCGGTAGTGTCGGTGGCATCGGTGGCCCTGGCAGTGCCGGTGGCGCGCAGGGCCTCACCCGTCGTAGAGGTGGCAGCCGCTGACGCACTCCCTGCCACCGCGGCGGAAGCTGCAAGAGAGGCACTGAGCCGGGCCCGGCCCCCAGCAGCCGTCCTGGCACAGCGGGTCGCACACCGCACCCATCGCCGCTGCGGGTGGAGGGGGAGGTGGAGGGGGAGGTGGAGGGGGAGGTGGAGGGGGAGGTGGAGGGGGAGGTGGAGGGGGAGGTGGAGGGGGAGGTGCAGGGGGCGCGGCGGGGGGTGCTTGTTAACCAACGACCGTGTAGCCCGTCCTCACCGCTCGTTAACTCACCTGTCCCTCACCTGTCACTCACCTGTACCCTCACCTGTCCCTCACCTGTCACTCACCTGTACCCTCACCTGTCCCCTCCCCACCGTTACCACTGCGAGTCACGTGCTCCCCACGCGCTCGCCTCAACCACGTCGACGCCCGCAGTGGCTCGGGCTATCCACTGCTGGATGAGGGCCTCCGCGAGGCGCCTTGAGGAGCATCGCCGTGGAACTCGGGAGCCAAGGAGCGAGCCGAGTTTCCATTCCCCGCGCCACGGCTAACACCGCCTCCCACCCATCGCCGTGGAGCTCGGGGGCCAAGGAGCGAGCCGAGTTTCCATTCCCCGCGCCACGGCTAACACCGCCTCCCACCCATCGCCATGGAGCTCGGGAGCCAAGGAGCGAGCCGAGTTTCCATTCCCCGCGCCACGGCTAACACCGCCTCCCACCCATCGCCGTGGAACTCGGGGGCCAGAGGAGCGAGCCGAGTTTCCATTCCCCGCGCCACGGCTAACACCGCCTTCCACCCATCGCCGTGGAACTCGGGGGCCAGAGGAGCGAGCCGAGTTTCCATTCCCCGCGCCACGGCTAACACCGCCTCCCACCCATCGCCGACGGCGCAGAGCCGCGTCGCCGACGGCGTCCTCGAATGAACCCCGCGGCAGGCGCGGCCGCCCGAGGGAATTCATCCAGCAGTGGAGTGTGGCGGCTTAGTGCCAGGGCACGTGGATCGATGCTCTCGGAGAAGGCGACCTTGAGAGGCGCGATGTGTTTGTTTAGACAGCGTGGTGGAGGGGGGGGGGGGGGCGGTGGCGGTGGGGGGAGGAGGGGGTGAAGGGGGGGGGGCGGTGGGAGGGCAGTGGTGGGGGGGGCGGTGGGGGGGGGGGGGGGCGGTGGGGAGGAGGGAGGGGGTGAAAGTTGCCACGAGGCGATGGGAGTGTAGAGGAGGAGGGTCGGTCACACGGGTCACGGGGCAACTCCCCCCTCCTGCCAAGCGCGAGTCTCACTCACCGCCCACGCTGGGCGAGCGTGGCGTGGGCGAGGGCGGCGTGGGTGAGGTGAGGGTGGCGTGGGTGAGGGCGGCGTGGGCCGCGTGGGTGAGGGCGGCGTGGGTGAGGGCGGCGTGGGCGAGCTCACTGCAGTTGTCGGCGCTGGGGCCGCCCGAGGCCACGAGGCTCTGGCTGTGCGTGGGCGAGGGAAAGAGCAACTCCCAGCGCAGCGTCGCCGCGTAGCAGAGTCGCTCGTTGCTGTGCAGGTAGACGTCGCCCGCGCTCACCTCGCGCAGCGCCCGCAGCCCCAGCGACGTCAGTGTGGGGATGCCGACCAAAAGTAGAGAGCGCATGCTACGGGGGTGGGGGGATAGGGGGGGTGAGGGGTGAGGGGGGTGAGGGGGGGGGAGGCGGGCAAGGCGGGGGGGGGGGTGAGCGGTTGTGTTAGAATTGGAATCAGGATATTTACACTGGAGGAATCCGATGAGCTATAAAGCTCTTCTAATTTCACGGAGGGGCGGCCGATGGGTTCCAGAGTTCAGGGGGCACATCACCGCTCCCCGCACAGACAAAGGTCCCCCGTGTAGCTGGCACAGGATACTGGGGCAAGTGCTGTTAGCGAGCGGCTGGTGGCCGCCGGCACCCACGCACGGCCGCCTTTGTCTCCCCACCACTGATGTTGAATCCACGCCGAACCGCTCTCGCCTGGCACGCGCACCGGGTAAAAAAGTCTGGAGTCGACACGGGGGGGGGGGGGGTGGGGAGGCACTGGGAACGGTCTGACAATTCCTCTTCGATGTTGGTCGTTGAGTGGGGATGGAACTCACGCGTCTGTGAGTCGGGGGACGCGTGATCGAGTCACGTGACACCCGAACCCTGCGAGCAATCGCGGCGGAGAATCTGAAGAAGGGCGCCTACCCTGGCCAAACTCGGACCTCCACCACCACCAACAACCACCACCACAACTACCCCCGCTGCTACAGTGAGGGAAAAAAGTATTTGATCACCTGCTGATTTTGTACGTTTGCCCACTGACAAAGAAATGATCAGTCTATAATTTTAATGGTAGGTTTATTTGAACAGTGAGAGAGAGAATAACAAGAAAATCCAGAAAAACGCATGTCAAAAATGTTATAAATCGATTTGCATTTTAATGAGGGAATAAGTATTTGACCCCCTCTCAGTCAGAAAGATTTCTGGCTCCCAGGTGCCTTTAATACAGGTAACGAGCAGAGATTAGGAGCACACTCTTAAAGGAGTGCTCCTAATTTCAGCTTGTTACCTGTATAAAAGACACCTGTCCACAGAAGTAATCAATCAGATTCCAAACTCTCCACCATGGCCAAGACCAAAGAGCTCTCCAAGGATGTCAGGGACAAGATTGTAGACCTACACAAGGCTGGAATGGGCTACAAGACCATTGTCAAGCAGTTGGTGCGATTATTCGCAAATGGAAGAAACACAAAAGAACTGTCAATCTCCCTCGGCCTGGGGCTCCATGCAAGATCTCACCTCGTGGAGTTGCAATGATCATGAGAACGGTGAGGAATCAGCCCAGAACTACACGGGAGGATATTGTCAATGAGCTCAAGGCAGCTGGGACCATAGTCACCAAGAAAACAATTGGTAACACACTACGCCGTGAAGGACTGAAATCCTGCAGCGCCCGCAAGGTCCTCCTGCTCAAGAAAGCACATATAGATGCCCGTCTGAAGTTTGCCAATGAACATCTGAATGATTCAGAGGACAACTCAACTCGCCGTGTTTGGAGGAGGAGGAATGCTGCCCATGACCCCAAGAACACCATCCCCACCGTCAAACATGGAGGTGGAAACATTATGCGTTGGGGGTGTTTTTCTACTAAAGGGTAGGACAACTTCACCGCATCAAAGGGACGATGGACGGGGCTATGTACCGTCAAATCTTGGGTGAGAACCTCCTTCTCTCAGCCAGGGCATTGAAAATGGGTCGTGGATGGGTATTCCAGCATGACAATGATCCAAAACACACGGCCAAGGCAACAAAGGAGTGGCTCAAGAAGAAGCACACTAAGGTCCTGGAGTGGCCTAGCCAGTCTCCAGACCTTAATCCCATAGAAAATCTGTGGAGGGAGCTGAAGGTTCGAGTTGACAAACGTCAGCCTCGAAACCTTGGAAAAGATCTGCAAAGAGGAGTGGGACAAAATCCCTCCTGAGATGTGTGTAAACCTTGTGGCCAACTACAAAAAACGTCTGACCTCTGTGATTGCCAACAAGGGTTTTGCCATCAAGTACTAAGTCATGTTTTGCAGAGGGGTCGAATACTTATTTCCCTCATTAAAATACAAATCAATTTATAACATTCTTGTCATGCGTTTTTCTGGATTTTGTTGTTATTCTGTCTCTCACTGTTCAAATAAACCTACCATTAAAATTATATACTGATCATTTCTTTGTCAGTGGGCAAACGTACAAAATCAGCAGGGGATCAGATACTTTTTTTCCCTCACTGTACGACCACCACCACCACCTCCAACAACCACCGTTCGCCACAAATTGTCGATGACGTGACCATGGCGCTTGTGCCATGCTAGGTGCAATCCTCCACCACCACAACAACCACAACCACCACAACATCCACCACCACAACAACGACTACAACCTCCACTACAACAACCACCACGACCACAACCAGCACCGCCACCACAACACCAACCTCTACCACCAGGACCACGACTACCACCACCACCACAACAACCACCACCACAACAACCACCACAACCTCCACCACAACAACCACCACCACGACCACAGCCACCACCCCACGACCATCACCACAACAACAACAACAATGGCGGTTCCTTACGCATCCCAGCAGCCACGCAGGTTTCTGAGAATTGAGTTCCCTGTTGCAATTGCGCGCAACGAGGCATTGCTGCTCATCTCGGCCCTGCAGAGCCAGTGGTGGGAATTCCACATTCTTATGACCGGGGCAAGGATGCCCATGGTAGAACCACCACTGCTGCATTCCCCCGAGACACGTGTTGCCGACCGGAAAGTGAAAGGCAGTCGAGTGAGTGAGTGATTGAGAGAGTCGGTAGTAGGTGAGTGAGTGGGATAGGTGAGTGGATGAAGGCGATGTTTGTGGAACGGGAGTGAGTGGGATAGGTGAGTGGATGAAGGCGATGTTTATGGAAACGGGAGTGAGTGGGATAGGTGAGTGGATGAAGGCGATGTTTGTGGAACGGGAGTGAGTGGGATAGGTGAGTGGATGAAGGCGATGTTTGTGGAAACGGGAGCGAGTGGGATAGGTGAGTGGATGAAGGCGATGTTTGTGGAACGGGAGTGAGTGGGATAGGTGAGTGGATGAAGGCGATGTTTGTGGAAACGGGAGTGAGTGGGATAGGTGAGTGGATGAAGGCGATGTTTGTGGAAACGGTGACAGTCACTGCCGCAATTGCGTGAGTCATTGGGTGAGAGGGAGAATGAATGATTGAGTGATTGATTGGGTGTGTGGATGAGTGAGTGATTGGGTGTGCGTGTGAATGAGAGGGTCACTGATTTGGGTGGATGGGTGAGTGATTGGAGTGAGCGATGTGGTTGAGCGATGTGGTGAGGGGACTGGAGTGATCACGGGAACAGCCGTCCTGACGCCGGCCACCCTGGCGGCAGCGGCAGCCGTCGGCAGCGACAGAGGAGTGGCTCAGGGCGGCCCAGTCGGATCGATTTGGATCCACGGCGCCGAACCGTGCACCGTCACTCAGCCCGAGAATAAATCCCGGCGCCGCTGCCGGGGTTAACCAGAACAATCAACACGAGGAGCTTCCAATTACCGCGCAATTAACACAATCAGCCCATCTGGACAGCGCCGTCGATAAGTGGGCTCCGTGTAATTAAATGTTCCGGGAGAAAACCTCCTCGACCCCCGCCCCCGCCCACCACCCCCGCCCCCCACCGAGAACCCCGATTGACCTACGGACTTCACACGAGCGAGGGTTCATCTTCAGCCATGGTCTGTCAGCTGCTGGATAAAGGCCTCCAGCCCCCACCCACAGCCCCCACCCCCAGCCCCCACCCACAGCCCCCACCCCCCACCCCCAGCCCCCACCCACAGCCCCCACCCCCAGCCCCCACCCACAGCCCCCACCCTCAGCCCCCACCCCCAGCCCCCACCCTCAGACCTCGTGCCCTGAACTCGCGGTAACTGCGGAGGGATGTGAGTGACGAGGTGATGAGTGGGCACTCATCCTCTCTCCTCCCTCCTCCTCCTCCTCCTCCCTCCTCCTCCTCCCTCCTCCTCTCTCCTCCCTCCTCCTCTCTCCTCCCTCCTCCCTCCTCCTCCCTCCTCCTCCCTCCTCCTCCTCCCCCCTCCTCCTCCCCCTCCCTCCTCCTCCTCCTCCTCCCTCCTCCTCCTCCCTCCTCCTCCCTCCTCCTCCTCCCTCCTCCTCCCTCCTCCTCCCTCCTCCTCCTCCTCCTCCTCCCTCCTCCCCCCTCCTCCTCCCTCCTCCTCCCTCCTCCTCTCCCCTCCCTCCTCCTCCCTCCTCCCTCCTCCTCTCTCCTACCTCCTCCTCCTCCCCCCTCCTCCCCCTCCCTCCTCCCTCCTCCTCCCCCTCCTCCTCCCTCCTCCCTCCTCCCCCTCCCCCCTCCACACGACAGACCACGCGGCTGACGGGATGTGTAGAGGAATAAAAGCACGTGGTTTTGTAATCTCGCGATGGGCTCGCTCGAGGTGTCTCCGCCCCTATGTCGCCCGATCGCGACTCCTCGAAACAGTGCTGCTTGCTGCTGGCCGTCGGGCGTTTGAGGAGTCCTTTCATGAGTCTTTTGGTGTGGGGGGGGGGGGTTGCGGGGAAGTGCATTGGGAGGGCGTTTAGGGGGGGGGCGTGGGGGGAGCGTGGGAGGGGGCGTGGGGGGGACGTGGGGGAATGTGGGGGGGGCGTGGGAGGGGGCGTGGGGCGTGGAAGGAACGTGGGGGGGCATGGGGGGACGTGGGGGAACGTGGGGGGGGGGCGTGGGGGGGCGTGGGGGGCGTGGGGGGGGGGCGTGCTGGACGAGCCCAGCGGAGTGCCGACCGCTCGGTTGCCGGAATCCTGCACCAGATTCCGGCCGACAGTCGGGACCCCCCCCCCGTGCGGCTCCTCGCAGCCCCCTAACATGTGAAACGGGGGGAGGTGGGGGGGGGCCCTCTCCTCCTCCACCCCCTCCCCCTCCTCCTTGCACGTTTATTCACGAGCGGGGTCCGGCCCGTGGAGAGGATATGAAACGCACTGCGAGGCGGCCCTGATTCATGCGCCATCATTACCGCCGGGCCCGGAGGGGCGGTGAGCCGACACATCCACCCACCCACACACCCACCCACCCACACACCACACATCCACCCACCCACCCACCCACCCACCCACCCACACACCCACCCACCCACACACCACACATCCACCCACCCACACACCCACCCACCCACCACACATCCACCCACCCACACACCCACCCATCCACCCACCCACACACCCACCCACCCACCACACATCCACCCACCCACCACACATCCACCCACCATACATCCACCCACAGACCACCCACACACCACCCACCACACATCCACCCACCCACCACACATCCACCCACCATACATCCACCCACACACCACCCACACACCACCCACCACACATCCACCCACACACCACCCACCACACATCCACCCACACACCACCCACCCACAAACCACCCACCCACCCACACACCACCCACACACCACCCACACACCACCCACACATCCACCCACACACCACCCACTCACACACCATCCACCCACACACCACCCACCACACATCCACCCACACACCACACACCCACACACCACCCACCACACATCCACCCACCCACCACACATCCACCCACCACACATCCACCCACCCACCACACATCCACCCACACACCACCCACAAACCACCCACCCACCACACATCCACCCACACACCACCCACCCACACACCACCCACACACCACCCACACACACACCACCCACCCACCACACATCCACCCACACACCACCCACCCACACACCACCCACATACCATCCACCCACACACCACCCACCCACACACCACACATCCACCCACACACCCACCCACACACCACCCACCCACTCACACACCATCCACCCACACACCACCCACCACCCACCACACATCCACCCACACACCACCCACCACACATCCACCCACACACCACCCACACACCACCCACCACACATCCACCCACACACCACCCACCACACATCCACCCACACACCACCCACCCACAAACCACGCACCCACCCACACACCACCCACACACCACCCACACACCACCCACACATCCACCCACACACCACCCACCACACATCCACCCACACACCACACACCCACACACCACCCACCACACATCCACCCACCCACCACACATCCACCCACCACACATCCACCCACCCACCACACATCCACACACACACCACCCACACACACACCACCCACCCACCACACATCCACCCACACACCACCCACCCACACACCACTCCGCCTGCTCTTCACCCCACCCCGTTGCCGCAGCCCCCGCGATCAATCCCGGGTTGTAGTATTTATTGCTTTTTCAACAAAAAGTCCACTTTTTGGCTTCAAATAACTTGTTTTATTATTCCCTTCTCCCCGCCGCCTCCCTCCTCGCCTCCTCCCCGCCTCCCCCCCGCCCCCCACACTCCCGCATGTCTCTTTTTGTCGCGTCCGTTCAATACAATTCCAGCTTACCTGCACCCCCCCTCCTCCCTCCCTCCTCCCCCCCCCCCATTGCTTCCCTCTCCCCCATTGCCACCCCCTCCCTCTCTCCCCCCGGCTCCCTCTCCCCCATTGTTTCCCCCTCCCTCTCTCCCCCCCGGCTCCCTCCTCTCTCTTCTCCTCTTTCCAACCCCCTTCCCCCCCATTGCCCCCCCCCCTCCCCCGTGCGCTACTCCCCCCCCCCACCACCACCCCTACCCCTCTTACTTGTGCTGGGTGCGTCCGCGAATGATGCGAAGGTTCTCGAACACACTGAGGTCCATCATGTCTGGCGGCCAGTACTGGATCATCAGGTAGCCTGCACACCCACACGCGGGGTTGTCAACATCTCGCCGGTCCCATCATCATCATCCCTCCCACTGGGGTCGATAAAACAAGTGTACCGCTTCGTGGGGATGATCAACAGCGGCTGGACTCGCCCCCATCCCCACCCCCCACGGGGCCATGGGAATGTGGAATTTCCACCACTGGCTCTGCAGGGCTGTTACTGCTTCAATTCTCGTGTGAGCAGAAGGAGGAGATGCGGTCGGGAGGAGAAGGAGGATGATGATGATGATGGGGTTCACAACGTTGTGGGCTGGGTATAGAGTGTGGCAGGAAAGCGTTGTAGGTGTGTGATTAGTTGGCGATGGTGGTGGTGACTGTGTTGATTGTGATGGTGGTTCTGGTGGCTGTGATGGTAGTGACGGTGGTGATGGTGGCGATGGTAGCGACGGTGGTGATGCTTGCTGTCAGGGTGGTTAGAATGATTGTGATGCTGGCGGTGATGGTGACTGCGATGGTGGCTGTAACAGTGATGGTGGTGGTGGTGATGATGGTAATGGTAGTAATGACGACGATAGTGGCTGTAATGGTGGTGATGGTGGCTGTAATAGTGATGATGGTGTTGACGGTGGCTTTGGCGATGATGGTAATGGTAGTCATGATGATGGCTGCGATGGTGGTGGGTTACCCGTGATCTCCGTCACGGTCCTGAACACCATCAGCTTGGTGGGGTCCAGCGGAGGGATCTGGAGGTAGCTGTCCCTGTGGGGTTGCACAGCAGCAACGCTCAGCCATGAGCCTCACCCCGACGGCCTCACCCCGCCGGCCTCACCCCGCCGGCCTCACCCCGCCGGCCTCACCTCGACGGCCTCACCCCATGGCATCACCCCATGGCATCACCCCATGGCATCACCCCGGCGGCCTCACCCCATGGCTTAACCCGCCGGCCTCACCCTGCCGGCCTCACCCCGCCAGCCTCACCCCGCCAGCCTCACCCCGGCGGCCTCACCCCATGCAATCACCCCGCCGGCCTCACCATGCCAGCCTCACCCCCGCCAGCCTCACCCCCGCCCCCCCAAGCGCTCACCCCTGGAATCCCGTGTTGTAGAAGACGACGTTTCCGTTGATCTTGGTGCAGTTCTGGAACGAGTCGATGTTGCTGGCATCCACCGTCTGTGCCTTGCTCAGCGAGTCCATGCCGATCCCGTCGCACGCTGCCAGGGGGGGGGGGGGGGGGGGGGGGGGCACACGAGCACAAAGGTCCCCCGGGTAGCCTCGAACGCGCTGTCGGGGCAAGTGCTGTGAGCGAGCAGCGAGCAGCAGCAGCAGCGGCACACGCCCGTGAAGGGCCGGGACGACAAATCCGGTCATGCCGGATTTGTCATCTCGGGATCATCTTGGGGTCATCTTGAGGTCATCTCTGGGGTAGGGAAGGGTCCTCTTGGAGGTCCAATTAGGGCCATCCTGGGATGATCTCTGGGTCAGTTATGGGTCACCTTGAGGTTAGTTATGGGGCAGATAGGGGTCAGATAGGGGTCATGCAGGGATCAGCTGCAGACCATGTAGGGGTCAGCTAGGGGTCATGTAGGGTTCAGCTAAGGGTAAATGCATGAGGCAACTAGGGGTCATGTAGGGGTTAGCTAGGGGTCATGTATGGTTTAGCGAGGGGTCAGCTAGGGGTCATGTAGAGGTCAGTTAGGGGCCATGTAGAGGTCAATTAGGGGTGATGTAGGGGTCAGCGAGGGGTCATGTACGGACCATGTAGAGGTCAGCTAGGGTCACATAGGGGTGAGGGGTCATGTAGGGGCCATGTAGAGGTCAGCTAGGGTCACATAGGGGTGAGAGAGGGGTCATGTAAGGGCCATGTAGAGGTCAGCTAGGGTCACATAGGGGTGAGAGAGGGGTCATGTAGGGGCCACGTAGAGGTCAGCTAGGGTCACATAGGGGTGAGAGAGGGGTCATGTAGGGGCCATGTAGAGGTCAGCTAGGGTCACATAGGGGTGAGAGAGGGGTCATGTAGGGGCCACGTAGAGGTCAGCTAGTGGCCACGTAGAGGTCAGCAGCACCTTTGGGGCAGACTCCCGGGCAGGCCTCGCACATCTTCACCCCGTTCCTCTCAACCTCCAGCTTCCCCTTGGGGCACGCCCTCACGCACGAGTTGTGGTCAACCACGAAGTTGTCTGCAGCCCACGCGGAGGGGCGGGGGAGAGGGGCGGGGGTGAGGGGCGGGGGTGGGGGGCGGGGGTGAGGGGCGGGGGTGAGGGGCGGGGGTGAGGGGCGGGGGCGAGGGGCCGGGAGCGAGGGGCGGGGGGCGGGGGTGAGGGGCGGGGGGCGAGGGGCGGGGGGGCGGGGGCGAGGGGCGGGGGAGAGGGGCGGGGGGGAGAGGGGCGGAGGGGAGGGGCGGGGGTGAGGGGCGGGGGCGAGGGCGAGGGGCGAGGGGCGGGGGTGGGGGGCGGGGGTGAGGGGCGGGGGTGAGGGGGGCGGGGGCGAGGGGCGGGGGGCGAGGGGCGGTGTGGGGAGCGAGGTCAGAGTTCAGGTGTAGAGAGCCGGCTCGGCATCCCTCGCACGGCCATCAGGGACCTTTCCCCCCCCCACCCTCTTTAGACGTTTCGCGTCCCACTCCTTCATTCATTTACTTTCCCGCCCTTTCGCTCGCAAGGAGGCGCGCCCCTCTCCCTCTCCCGCCGCCCCCACCGACGTCATTGCTAATTCATTTCGCCGGCCAAATCGATGAGCGCGATGCATAGTTTATAGCACTATTAAACATTTAAAGAAGAGGAGGGTGGGTGGGTGGGTGGGTTGCGCTGAGACGGGAGGGTTCGATGTGTTGGTGGAGGGTGCCGGGAGATGCGGGCTAGGCAGGGTGAGGGGGGGACGGGGTCAGTTTTAAAAAGCGTGGAAAATAATTCCGAAGGAAACCACAAAGTGAGGAGCGGAGTCGGAGGAGGAGGTGGAGGAGGTGGAGGAGGTGGTGGTGGATAAATGTTCTCCCCTGCGACGGGGGGGGGGTCGGAGGAGCGGAATGGGCTCGGAGCTCGTTGGGATCCTGCGACTGGGTCGTGCGTCCCGTTGTGCCCTCGCTGTGACGCGGTTTACGGCGCGCGTTGTGCGACGTTTCGCGGCGCGAGCTCCCGAAGGGGCCCACGGGCACCCGGAGCGCAAAACCGTCGGACACGCTCACAGCAAAGGTTGGGGGGGGGGGCAGATACAATTATGATGATGATGGCAGGAGGAGGCAATTCCAGAGTGGACGAAGCAGAGAGAGAGAGAGAGACAGAGTGTGTGACGACCAGCAGCGTGGTGGGTGGGTGGGTGAGTGTGTGTTGTTATAACCTGCAATGTGGTGAGTGGGTGGATGGGTGGGTGGGTGGATCGGTGGGTGACTGAATGAGTGGGTGGAAGACTGGGTGTGAGTGGGTTGGTAGGTGAGTGAGTGTGTTGTTATGACCTGCAGTACGGTGGCTGTGGTGATGGTTGAACAGTGTGGTGGGTGGGTGAACAGTGTGGTGGGTGAACAGTGTGGTGGGTGGGTGAACAGTGTGGTGGGTGGGTGAACAGTGTGGTGGGTGGATGAACAGTGTGGTGGGTGGGTGAACAGTGTGGTGGGTGGGTGAACAGTGTGGTGGGTGGGTGAACAGTGTGGTAGGTGGGTGAACAGTGTGGTGGGTGAACAGTGTGGTGGGTGGGTGAACAGCGTGGTGGGTGGGTGAACAGTGTGGTGGGTGGGTGAACAGTGTAGTGGGTGGGTGAACAGTGTGGTGGGTGGGTGAACAGTGTGGTAGGTGGGTGAAAGTGTGGTGGGTGGATGAACAGTGTAGTGGGTGGGTGAACAGTGTGGTGGGTGGGTGAACAGTGTAGTGGTGGTAGGTGAGAGTGACGGGGTCAGCGGCAACACCGGCGGAAGGCGATCAACGAGTGCAGCTCACGGCACACAGCGGCCATGGCAGTATCGGATCAGCAGCAGCAGCAGCGATGGGGCTGTGACTGATCACGTTGTGTTGGGGGGGGGGCTCACTGACAAGCGGCGTCTGGCGGCACGGAGGGCCCTGCGAGATCTGTGGCGGGCCCTGCGAGATCTGTGGCGAGCCCTGCGAGATCTGTGGCGAGCCCTGCGAGATCTGTGGCGAGCCCTGCGAGATCTGTGGCGAGCCCTGCGAGATCTGTGGCGAGCCCTGCGAGATCTGTGGCGAGCCCTGCGAGATCTGTGGCGAGCCCTGCGAGATCTGTGGCGAGCCCTGCGAGATCTGTGGCGAGCCCTGCGAGATCTGTGGCGAGCCCTGCGAGATCTGTGGCGAGCCCTGCGAGATCTGTGGCGAGCCCTGCGAGATCTGTGGCGAGCCCTGCGAGATCTGTGGCGAGCCCTGCGAGATCTGTGGCGAGCCCTGCGAGATCTGTGGCGAGCCCTGCGAGATCTGTGGCGAGCCCTGCGAGATCTGTGGCGAGCCCTGCGAGATCTGTGGCGAGCCCTGCGAGATCTGTGGCGAGCCCTGCGAGATCTGTGGCGAGCCCTGCGAGATCTGTGGCGAGCCCTGCGAGATCTGTGGCGAGCCCTGCGAGATCTGTGGCGAGCCCTGCGAGATCTGTGGCGAGCCCTGCGAGATCTGTGGCGAGCCCTGCGAGATCTGTGGCGAGCCCTGCGAGATCTGTGGCGAGCCCTGCGAGATCTGTGGCGAGCCCTGCGAGATCTGTGGCGAGCCCTGCGAGATCTGTGGCGAGCCCTGCGAGATCTGTGGCGAGCCCTGCGAGATCTGTGGCGAGCCCTGCGAGATCTGTGGCGAGCCCTGCGAGATCTGTGACGGGCCCTGCGAGATCTGCGGCGGGCAGCGAGATCTGTGGCGGGCGAGCGCGGCGCTCGCGAAAGCCGAGGTTCCATCTCACGTCGGCGCGCGCGCTAACCACAGCGCCACCACTCCCCACCGCCGCATCTCCGTGAGCGGCCAGGGGGGAGTGTGGAGTGGGGGTGGGGGCGTTGGGAGTGGGGAGTGGGGTGTGGTGGGTGGGGGGTGGTGGGTGGGGGGTGGTGGGTGGGGTGTGGTGGGTGGGGGGTGGTGGGTGGGGGGTGGTGGGTGGGGAGTGGGGGGGAGTAAGAAGAAAAAACAATTACAGAGCACGGCACACGGAGCGTGTGCGGAGTGGAGTGAGCGGCGTGAGCGGCGGTGCCGTAGGCGCGAGGGGTCACCACGGGGTTAATGCGCGCGGCCGAGGCTCGGGGTGGTGGCGCATGGAGCCGAGGGGGGTGAGGGGGGTGGGGGCCCGGCACTGCCTCGTGTCAGTGCCCGCGGTTCCCTATCTCACTCGGCTCGCCAAAGCCTCACCAACTAGCCCCTCCCCCCTCTCCCGCCCTCAACTCCTCGCACAGAAAATCCCTCTTGGATGGGGAGTGCGGGGCGGTGGGGGGGGGGAGATGGGGAGGAGATGGGGGGAGATGGGGGGGAGATGGAGGGGGGGAGATGGGAGGGAGATGGGGGGGGGAGATGGAGGGGGGGAGATGGGAGGGAGATGGGGGGGGAGATGGAGGGGGGGAGATGGGAGGGAGATGGGGGGGGAGATGGAGGGGGGAGATGGGATGGAGATCGGGGGGGGGAGATGGAGGGGGGGGGAGATGGAGGGGGGGGAGATGGAGGGGGGAGATGGAGGGGGGGAGATGGAGGGGGGGAGATGGGGGGGAGATGGGGGGGAAATGGAGGGGGGGAGATGGGGGGGGAGAGATGGAGGGGGAGAGATGGAGGGGAGGAGATGGGGGGGAGATGGGGGGGGGAGGTGGAGGGGGGGGGTGAGATGGAGGGGGGTGCAGATGAGAAGGAGGGATCACTGATGAACATTCTCAGGCACCCGACCCCCATCCCAGCCCCCATCACGGGGAGTATCCCCCCCCGTGCCCCCTCTCCCCCCTCTCCACCCCACCCCCATGCCCCCCCCCCTCCACCCTGCCCCCGGCTGTGCCCCAGCCACGTTGGAGCGCGCGGGTCCAGAGGTAAAGGTGTAGCCCGGAACAAAATCTTCCCGGTGAGCGGTGTCGGGTGAGTCGATTAGTGGTGAGTGGTGTCGGGTGAGTCGATTAGTGGTGAGTCGTATCGGGTGAGTTGATTAGTGGTGAGTCGTATCGGGTGAGTGGTGGATGTCTGACAAGGAGCCATGCGAGTGTCTCGTCACCTCGTCTCTCGTTGGTGTCCTTAACGTGGCGCTCGTCAGCAGCGTGGGTCTCTGTGAGGGTCTGTGGGTCTCTGGGTGAGTCTGTGGGTCTCTGGGTGAGTCTGTGGGTCTCTGGGTGAGTCTGTGGGTCTCTGTGTGAGTCTGTGGGTCACTGTGTGAGTCTGTGGGTCTCTGTGTGAGTCTGTGGGTCTCTGTGTGAGTCTGTGGGTCTCTGTGAGAGTCTGTGGGTCTCTGTGTGAGTATGTGGGTCTCTGTGTGCGTCTGTGGGACTCTGTGTGAGTCTGTGGGTCACTGTGTGAGTCTGTGGGTCTCTGTGTGAGTCTGTGGGTCTCTGTGTGAGTCTATGGGTCTCTGTGTGGGTCTGTGGGTCTCTGTGTGGGTCTGTGGGTCTCTGTGAGGGTCTGTGGGTCTCTGTTTGAGTCTGTGGGTCTCTGTGAGGGTCTGTGGGTCTCTATGTGAGTCTATGGGTCTCTGTGTGGGTCTGTGGGTCTCTGTGTGGGTCTGTGGGTCTCTGTGTGAGTCTGTGGGTCTCTGTGTGAGTCTGTGGGTCTCTGTGTGAGTCTGTGGGTCTCTGTGAGAGTCTGTGGGTCTCTGTGTGAGTCTGTGGGTCTCTGTGTGAGTCTGTGGGTCTCTGTGAGAGTCTGTGGGTCTCTGTGTGAGTATGTGGGTCTCTGTGTGCGTCTGTGGGTCTCTGTGTGAGTCTGTGGGTCTGTGTAAGTCTGTGGGTCTATGTGTGAGTCTATGGGTCTCTGTGTGAGGCTGTGGGGTCTCTGTGTGCATCTGTGGGTCTGTGTGTGAGTCTGTGGGTCTCTGTGTGAGTCTGTGGATCTGTGTAAGTCTGTGGGTCTCTGTGTGAGTCTGTGGGTCACTGTGTGAGTCTGTGGGTCTCTGTGTGAGTCTGTGGGTCTCTGTGTGAGTCTGTGGGTCTGTGTAAGTCTGTGGGTCTATGTGTGAGTCTATGGGTCTCTGCGTGAGGCTGTGGGGTCTCTGTGTGCATCTGTGGGTCTGTGTGTGAGTCTGTGGGTCTCTGTGTGAGTCTGTGGATCTGTGTAAGTCTGTGGGTCTATGTGTGAGTCTGTGGGTCTCTGTGTGAGTCTGTGGGTCTCTGTGTGAGTCTGTGGGTTTCCGTGTGAGCCTGTCAAAAGCTATGCGTTTGTGAGTGTGCGAGTGTGTGTGTGTGCGAGTGTGTGTGCGAGTGCGTGAGTGTGTGTGCGAGTGAGCGAGTGTGTGTGCGAGTGTGTGTGTGTGAGTGCGCGAGTGTGAGTGAGTGTGTGTGTGGGGATCGGTGGTGTAGCGGTTAGAGCTATGCGCTACGAACCTGGCGCCCCAAGTTCGGTTTCCGCTCACGACCAAAGCCAGTAACGATTGCAATCTTACAGACAATTGTCTCTACCGGTCCTGGGTCTCCCCTAGGTCGACCCAACCTAAAATGAGTACCTGGGTGCGGTGTGTAAACATCGCCATTGGGGAGACAAAGGCGGCCGGGCGTGGTGCTGGCCACCCACCCCCTCGTGTGCCGTTCCGGCCTTCATAGGCGCTACTCGCTAACAGCACTTGCCCCAACAGCCCGTGTGAGGCTACACGGGGGATCTTTGTCTGTGTGACAAGCGGCGATCCCTTGGCACGGCCGCTGGCACCGCCATCCCAGCCACGCGCACCGCACAGCGAACCCCTCGCCCCATGCGATGGGGGGGGGGGGGGGTTCGCGAGACCCCCGCATATCCACCCCGCGGGGGGGGGGGGCGGGGGGGGGGTTGGCTGGGGGATTTGGAGAATATTTGACCAAAGCTGTAAATTGATTTCGTGTTTTGCCAAGCGGTGTTTATCAGAGCTTCGCCGTGGAGGGACGATGCCCGGGTAGGTCTCTGTGGGCGGGCAGGCAGGGTGGGGCGGGGGGGCGGGGCGGGGGGGTGTTCAGGATGCGGCATGCGCAGCGATGCGACCGCAGCAACGCGCAACAGGAAGAGCTGTAGACCCACGCGCAACAGGAAGAGCTGTAGAACCCACGCGTGTCCAGTCACGCCGACATCAAGGGCGCACAAGCCCACGACTTCACCGGGCAGAGAACTCCGGGTTTGGCTCCTACGCTCAGCCGCCCCCCGCCACGGGCATCACGCCCGGCTTTTGAAGTGCGGCAGGGTCATCGCCCGAAACGTCGCCTGGCCGCGGTCGGCTGACGTTGCTGACCCTCCGTTAGGCTGCGCGCGGCCTCCGTCGCTCGTGTTAGCCCCGGCTGGGACTCGAACTCAGGTCGCCGGGCTCAGAATACGGCGCGCAAACCGCGCAGCGTCTCAAAGGTGCATTCGTCAGCTACTTTTACGCCGACGAAGGCGAAAAGTTGCTGACGAATATCATGGATCAGCATCACCACCATCGTGAGCGTCACCATCAGCAGCAGCATCACCATCAGCAGCAGCATCGTCATCAGCAGCATCACCATCATAATCATCATCATCAGCATCATCACCATCATCAGTACCATAAATTAGCATCACCATCTTCAGCATCACCACCATCAGCATCATCAATATCACTATTAGCATCACCATCAGCGTCACCATCACCATCATCATCAGCATCATCAGCATCACCATCATCACCATCAGCATAATCATCATCGTCGTCATCATCGTCGTCATCATCGCCATCATCAGCATCACCAGCATCGTCACCATCAGCATCATCAGCATCATCAGCATCAGCATAATCATCATCATCGTCGTCATCATCGTCGTCGTCATCATCGCCATGATCAGCAACAGCAGCAGCGGCGTGGCGAGCCACTGGCGTTGTTTCGTGGTCGCGATGTGCGCCGCGTGACGGGGTGTGTGGGAAATCACCGCTCCCCACAAAGACAAAGCCCCCCCCCGTGTAGCCCACGTAGGCTGTTGGGGCAAGTGCTGCTAAGCACCCGTGAAGGCCGGAACGGTACGCGAGGGGGCGGGTGGCCAGTACCACGCCCGGCCGCCTTTGCCTCTCCCAGAGCCGATGCTTTCACACCGCGTCAGGTACTCATTTGAGGCTGAGTCGACCTAGGGAAGACCCAGAACGGGTTCAGATAATCGTCACTGGTGTTGGCCGTGAACGAGAGTCGAACTCGGGTCGCAGGGTTCATAGCGCAGTGCACTTACCACATCAATCGTGGCGCTACACACACACACACAAAAGACAAAGATCCCCCATATAGCCTGCATCGACTGTTGGGGCAAGTGCTGCTAGCAAGTACGGCACACGAGGGGGTGGGTTGCCAGCACCACGCCCGACCGCCTTTGTCTCCCGAGTGGCGATGTTTTTTACACACCGCACCAGGTATTCATTTGAGGCTGAGTCGACCTAGGAGAGGCCCAGTGTCGGTTCAGATAATCGCAGCTGGTGTTGGCCGTGAGCGGGAATCGAACTCCGGTCGCCGGGTTCGTCACGCAGCGTAGCGCTAACCGCTACACTACCGCCCCCACACACATAACAGGCACACACACACACACGCACGTACACACACACACGTACACACAGACACACACACTCTGCAACATCACCCAGATCTTGCGATCTCCAAGTCACGACCTTTCCCGAGATAACGAGCACCCTGGCTAACGAAGGCACGCGATGCTGGCGATGGGGTTCAGAGCCCCATCACCGCCCGCTCCGCCCACTGCAGCTCAGAGCATGCACACAGGGACAGCGCACGCGTGTGCAACGCTGCCACCACGCCTTGACAACGCCGTCGTGCGGCGTGTGTACGTGCGTTGAACTTTCTATCGCACCGTACGTGGCCGACCGTGCTCACCGGAGGTGCGGGGGAAGGACAACAAACTAAACACAACACAACAGTTCTAAGGAAATGAGTTTTCAATCTCGATTTTAAACAGTGTATAGCTCTCAATGGCTTCCTACTATCGTGCGTGGCTTGTAGGGGGGCAGCATGAGGGCAGCAGAGGCGCAGAAGGAAAATAGAAAGGCAGGATGATGGCATATTCAAGGGCATAGGGGAAGGGCAGCAGCAGGAGGAGGACATATTCAGGGGCATGTTTGGGGGCAGTCGCAGATAGCATAGGAGGGCAGCAGGAGGACATGTCCATGAACAAGAGGAGGGCAGGATGATGGCATATTCGGGGGGGCCAGTGGGGCAGCAGGGGAGGGGGGGGGGGTTGCAGCCACTCACGTGGGCACTGCTTGACGCAGGTGGCGCCGTAGCTGTATTTCCCGTTGGGGTTGTCCTCATGCTGGAACGCCGTGGGATTGTAGATGGAGAGGGGGGGGCAGAGCCGCACGCAGGCGCCGCTGTCGTTGAAATTCTTGCAGGCCTGGCGATCGTCGCGGGCGGCAGCGGGCAGCGGGCCGCCCGCGTCAGTAAACGTCAGCGGACGCCGCGGTCAGCAGCAGCAGCAGCGTCATTATCGGCGGCAAGAGCATCACTGTATAATCATCATGATTATGTCCACATGCCACCACCACCACCAGCAGCAGCAGCCTGTCTCTTCGTTGTCGCTGTGTCTCCTCCACGCGTTGTAACCCCGTGCCCCCCGTATTCCTGTCGTGTACCCCGTATCCCCTCTGTGACCCCCCCCCGCCACCACCACCCCTCGCCCCCCCCCATGTCTCCCCCGCCCCCCGACCCGTACCCCCCCCGTGCTCCCCACGTGCCCCCCCCCCCCAACGTGCTCCCCCATGCACCCCCCCCCCACCCCCGTCTCACGTAGCAGTCGGTCTCGCGTGGGCCCGAGCACCCCGAGGCGCACTGCGAGTGGCAGCACTCGCTGGGGCTGGGTCCGTAGCAGCGGCCGTCACACTGACGAGCACAAACCAGCTTCGTCTCTAGGGGGGGGGGCAGAGGGGGGGGGGCAACAGGGGCGTAGCAGCTCGGTGATCATTATTGTACAACCAACACCAAAAAAACAAAAGACAAAGATCCCCCGTGTAGGATTGACAGACTGTAGGGGCAAGTGCTGTTAGCGAGCAGCACCTATGAAGGTCGGCAAGGCCACATAAGAGGGTGGGGGGGGGGTGGCCAGCACCACGCCCGAACGCCTTTATCTCCCCAGTGGTGATGTTTACACATCGCACCATGTGCTCATTTCAGGCCGAGTCAACCTAGGGGAGGCCCGGTAACCCAGTCAGATAATCGTCACTGTTGTTGACCATGAGCGGGAATCGAACTCGGGTGGGCGGGTTCGTAGCGCAGCGCGCTGACCGCTGCACCACCGCTCGCCATAACCATCGCCACCACCAACATCACCACCACCACCAACATCACCACCACCCACCACCACCACCCACCACCACCCACCACCACCACCCTCGCCACCACCTACCACCACCCACCACCACCAACATCACCACCACCACCACTCACCACCACCACCACCCACCACTACCCACCACCACCCCACCACCACCCACCACCACCCACCACCACCCACCACCACCCCCACCACCTACATCACCACCACCACCCACCACCACCACCACCACCCACCACCACCACCACCACCACCCACTCGCCCACCGCCCCCAGGGGCCTGGTCCATGAGAGTCGCTGACGATCAACAAAAAGGGGCAGCTCCTGGCACGGCTATCGATCCTCGGTGGTGGAGTTGACCCGAGAGAGACAGTGGCCTCATTGCGAAGGGGGGCCAGGGGCGGGGGGGGGGGGGGGGTGGGCGAGTGGCGGGGGGGGGGGGGAGGGACGAGAAATAGGGGATGGCGAGGGGGGGGGCTGCTCACGTTTCTGGCACATGCTGGGTTCGGGTGCCCAACAGTGGCCGTCACAGCTGTCCGGACACTTGGGGCCTGCAGACAGACAGAGGGAGAGGGAGATCATCACTAACAATCACCAGCAATCATCATCGATTCAAAGCTGTCGTGACTGCAACGATTCATCTTCTTTGGTTCTTTCGGTAAAGTCACCATGTAGAATGAGAATGAAATGATAAATTAATAAAATAACGCGATAAAATTCTCACGACGCTGGCATTGTGACTGTTTCTCCCTCCCTCCTCCTCCCTTCCGAGCAGGGATTGACTCGTCCGCCTGAATGTCGCTGTCCGTGGTGCTGATGTTGAGTGGATGGGAAAAACCGCAATTTTACACCATGTAACATTGATATATAACGACTTATTGTTAGTCGCTAAGCTGATTGGAGAGTATATAGAGTTTATTGATAACATTGAGGAGCTTATATTTTAGTTTTTTATTGGTTTACTATATGGTATTCATTATATAGTGTAATGTATACCCAGTTGCTGTATGATTAATAGCTCAGCTTATTGAAGAATATATTAAGTACATTTATTATATTGATGTGATATAGACTTAGTTTTTTCACATCGGTTTACTTTATGATAGTTGTTAGTTGGAGTCCTTAGCGTCCATATACTAAATGCCTCTGTTGATATGTAAACTTTGACTTCAACACAGCTATTTCTGTCACAAGCGAATCCCTCGGCTATTCAATGCTAAATTCTCCTGCTCTGATATGTAAACTCCTTTGTCAAGGCTCTTCACGCTTCTCACCGAGCTTAAAAGACGCTATGGTTTACTTTATAATAGTTGGTAATTGGAGGCCTTTAGCGTCCATATACTAAATGTCTCTGTTGATTTTTAAACTTTGACTTTAACACAGCTATTTCTATCACAAGCTAATCCCTCGGCTATTCAATGCTAAATTCTCCTGCTCTGATATGTAAACTCCTTTGTCAAGGCTCTTCACGCTTCTCACCGAACTTAAAAGACGCTATGGTTTACTTTATAATAGTTGGTAATTGGAGGCCTTTAGCGTCCATATATGAAATGGTTTTGTGGATATGTAAACTTTGACTTTAACACTGCTATTTCTGTCACAAGCTAATCCCTCGACTATTTCAATGGTTAATTCTCCTGCTCTGATATGTAAACTCCTTTGTCAAGGTTCGCAGCGCCTCTCACCGAGCTTAAAAAGACGCTGCGAATCTTAGCAGCGTAAATTGAAGCTCTGTCGTCCCGACAGTTCTGTTCTTTCACCTGAAGAAGGCTGCTTGTGTTGTGGCCGAAACGTCGTGAGAATTTTATTGTGTTATTTTATTTTATTATTTTATTATTGTATTCTCATTCTACGTGACTTTACCGAAAGAACCAAAGAAGAATCATCATCGTCATTCTTCATGATCATCAACAGTTATCATCAGCCATCATCATCAAGAATCATCTTTATAATCATCATCACCATCATCCAAAGTACAGGTTTTTTTGGGTTAGATCGCGTAAATATATACATGTGTCGTTAAACCCGCAACCACCCGACACAGCCAATTACTAAAGGTTTGTCACGTAAACAGAACGTGGCGAATTTGTTACTAGTACAGCACTAACCGGTTGTGTGTTGGAGAGCAAATCAGCAACATTTGCAATCTGAGTGTACGACGCTTCGCAAGGAGCTAGCAGCCAGGTTTATGGAAAAATCCTCCCCCTGTTTCGTTCCTTAAATAGAGGGATAGGTGTAATGGCGTCACTTGTGAGCCCTTCACGTGCAAAAGCCGGAGGGAGCAGGGAGGGGGATTAGAAATCAAATGCTGCCGATAAGGGCCGATCAACTGTTGTGATGCCTCGTGAGAATTATGATGGTAAAATCAAATATCTACTCTATGAAGGAACCTACCTGAAAATGAAACGAGACCCAACCAACGCGTTGATGTCCCATTAAGACCCGTAGTTATTACAATAGGCTCTGACGCATACAAATTAGCACAATACTTGACGAGACAAATACAGCCCTACATCCTTAGGGACCTCTTCGTTCCTTAAAAAAAAAACACTCATAACATCTCGTGAATAGAATTAAAGACATTAAGCTTAACCCTAGCGATATTCGTGTAAGTTTTGATTTGACTTCTCTGTTCACGACGGTTCTGGTCAACGAGTCTATTAACTTGCTCGACACTCTGATGACGAACAAAGGTTTAGCCAAAAGATGTCCCAAGACGAGCTGAACACTGTCTACAAAAACACCGACTTCTTGTGGCAAGGTGCCTTCTATAAACAAAACGAAGGAACACCAATGGGCTCTCCTTTGTCTCCTGTGATTGCGAATTTGTACGCGGAAGATTTTGAAGCAAAAGCAATAGTTTCAAGAAACACTGAAACCCTCTGCTTGGTGTTGATATGTGGATGCCACTTGGTGGTCTGGCCCACGCGGCAAAGAATAGTATTAACGAATTTAGCAATCATCTTAACTCGCAAAAAAGCGTTTATTCAGTTCACCATGGAAGTGAAAAGTTGACAGAACTCTCCCATTTCTGGATATTCTGTTCGGGGCGCCGGCCGAAATGGTCAAATAACATACACAGCGTTTAGGGGGAAAAAAAAACGCACACTGACGCCTATCTGAAATGCAGAGTCACAACCATCACCCCACACAGAAATTCGTTTCTCATCAAGATGCTCATAACATCGGGCTAAGAAAGTGTCAGATGGTGATAGTCTGAGAAGTTAAATTAAACATGTTAAAGAAGCGCTGCAATTGAACAGTTTACAATGATGCACAAATCAACCAGGGTCACTGAATGCCAAAACCCAATCAAATAACGCGAGCGTTAAAGCTGAGCAGGTAAATAGAACCGATTAAATCGGACATCAGAGTCAGATTTGGCACGGTACAATAAAAATACAGAAACGAATATCTGGTACTAAAGATCTATTACTGAAGCTATCAACAGAAGGTGTGTACCGGATTCATTGCTACGTTCAGCAGACGGATAATCAGCACGAGACGAAAATAACACCAAATAAAATATTAAATACTCTGTCGGCAGCGGGCAGGTAAATAAGGACACTCAATTTATTTGATAATGTTGAAGTTGCGTGCAAAACTAGTTACTGCTGGCCTAAAGACGAATTAGAGAATCTATCGAAAATTGAGAGAAATAAAAATTACTTTAACCGTTCGGATAGCTACAGGCTTAGTGCTGCTTGGAATCGAATCGTCAAATAACGCATTGTGTTTTAAATGCACGTGCATACAGGGGGATTACCTGTGAGCAGACACTACAGGGACACAAACGGCGGGCATGTACAAGATTAATGTGCATGCATAATGTGCGTAGGTTACCGTATGAGTACCCCAACAGATAATGGATACCATTGTCATTTATACGCGTTCGTGTATCCCCCCCCCTCCGCTCCCTCTGGCCTTCACACGTGAAGAGCTCACGAGTGACGCCATCACATCGGCACCCCTCGATGTATGGAGAATTACTCCACAAATCCGTTTGCTGTCCGCCTGATGAAGCCGGTTGTAATTGCTGGCGGAACGTCGTGCTCAGATTGTAAATGCTGTGGAATTTGTTCTCCAACACACGACCGGTTAGTGCTGTACTCGTAACGAAATTGTCCACGTTCTGTTTACGTGACAAACCTTTACCAATTGGCTGTGTCGGTGGTGGCGGGTTTAACGACGCATTTATACATTTACGCAATCTAACACCTAAAAATATATATTTTTGGATGATCTTGGTCAACGTCATCGTCATCACCAGAGGTGTTGTAGTTACCCCCCTGGCCAACCCATCATCACCGCACACCCATCATCATCATCACCATTGTCATACCCAATAGACGGAGTGTGACTTCTATATTTGGGGGCGGGGGGGGCGGGCTCGCTTTGTCCCCCACATTAGGAATCGCTGGTGCGTATAATGCATGTAGTTTAAAAAAATCTTAATTGTAAACTGCAAAAATAATCAATAAAGGTGTCCAGTTTGGGCAGGGAGCGTTGCTTTCCCCCCGCCTCCCCCGTGCCCCCCCCTCTCGCAATCATCTCCGCCCATCATCATTAATCACCATTACAATCACCATCAATCACCATCACAATCATCACCAATTACCATCACAATCACCATCACAATCATCATCAATCATCATTGATCACAATCATCAATCACCATCACAATCATCATCAATCACAAGCATCATCAATCACCATTACAATCGTCATCAATCACCATCACAATAACCATCGCAATCATCATCAATCATCATTAATCACCTTCACAATCATCATCAATTACCATCACAATCACAATTACAATCACCATCGCAATTACAATCACCATCACCATCACAATCAGCATCAATCACCATTACAATCATCATCAATCACAATCACCATCATAATCATCAATCACCATCACAATCATCATCAAACACCATCACAATCATCACAATCACCATCACAATCACAATCACCATCACAATCACCATCAATCACCATCACAATCATCACCAATCGCCATCACAATCACAATCACCATTATCACCAATCACCATCACAATCATCATCAATCACCATCACAATCATCATCACAATCACCATTCCAATCATCATCAATCATCACCAATCACCATCACAATCATCATCACAAATCACCATCACAATCATCACCAATCACCATCACAATCATAATCACAATCACCATCACAATCATCATCAATCACCATCACAATCGTCATCACAATCACCATCCCAATCATCATCAATCATCATCAATCACCATCACAATCACCATCACAATCATCATCACAATCACCATCACAATCATCACCAATCACCATCACAATCATCACCAATCACCATCATCACCAATCACCATGACAATCATCATCAATCACAATCATCATTACAATCATCATCACAATCACCATAACAATCAGCATCACAATCACCATAACAATCATCATCACATTCACCATCACAATCATCCTCAATCATCACAATCATCATCACAAATCATCATCACCAATCACCATCATCACCAATCACCATCACAATCATCATCAACCACCATCACAATCATCATCACAATCATCATCACAATCACCATCACAATCATCATCACAATCACCATCACCCCCCCCCCCCCCCCCCCCGTGTCTCACACGCGGTGGAGTTTTTGTCATCCAGCTTCACCCTCTCGCTGTCACGGACGATATCTCTCCACACGACGGTGTCGTCGAAGCACAGGAACTTGTTCTCGCTGATGAACACCCCTCCCGTGAGGATCTCTACGGGGGGGGGGAGGGGGTATCGATGGCTCAGTGAAGACCACATCACCACAACCACCGTCGCCACAACCGCCACCACCGTCGCCATCACCATCGCCACAACGACCATCATCTTCTCACCTCTTCCTCATCCTCTTCATCTTCTTACTGTTCTTCTGCTCACCCCTCACCCCATCTTCATCACATTTAGAGTGAACGTGTGTTTACATCGGTGCTTCTTAACCTATACAGTGAGGGAAAAAAAGTATTTGATCCCCTGCTGATTTTTTACGTTTGCCCACTGACGAAGAAATGATCAGTCTATAATTTTAATGGTAGGTTTATTTGAACAGTGCGAGACGGAATAATAACAAAAAAATCAGAAAAACGCATGTCAAAAATGTTATAAATTGATTTGCATTTTAATGAGGGAAATAAGTATTTGACCCCTCTGCAAAACATGACTTAGTACTTGGTGGCAAAACCTTTGTTGGCAATCACAGAGGTCAGAGGTTTCTTATAGTTGGCCACCAGGTTTGCACACATTTCAGGAGGGATTTTGTCCCACTCCTCTTTGCAGATCTTTTCCAAGTCATTAAGGTTTCGAGGCTGACGTTTGGCAACTCGAACCTTCAGCTCCCTCCACAGATTTTCTATGGGATTAAGGTCTGGAGACTGGCTAGGCCACTCCAGGACCTTAATGTGCTTCTTCTTGAGCCACTCCTTTGTTGCCTTGGCCGTGTGTTTTGGGTCATTGTCATGCTGAAATACCCATCCACGACCCATTTTCAATGCCCTGGCTGAGGGAAGAAGGTTCTCACCCAAGATTTGACGGTACATGACCCTGTCCATTGTCCCTTTGAAGAGGTAAAGTTGTCCTGCCCACTTAGCAGAAAAACACCCCCAAAGCATAATGTTTCCACCTCCATGTTTGACGGTGGGGATGGTGTTCTTGGGGTCATAGGCAGCATTCCTCCTCCTCCAAACACGGTGAGTTGAGTTGATGCCAAAGAGCTCCATTTTGGTCTCATCTGACCACAACACTTTCACCCAGTTGTCCTCTGAATCATTCAGATGTTCATTGGCAAACTTCAGACGGGCATGTATACGTGCTTTCTTGAGCAGGGGGACCTTGCGGGCGCTGCAGGATTTCAGTCCTTCACGGCGTAGTGTGTTACCAATTGTTTTCTTGGTGACTATGGTCCCAGCTGCCTTGAGATCATTGACAAGATCCTCCCGTGTAGTTCTGGGCTGATTCCTCACCGTTCTCATGATCAGTGCAACTCCACGAGGTGAGATCTTGCATGGAGCCCCAGGCCGAGAGAGATTGACAGTTCTTTTGTGTTTCTTCCATTTGCGAATAATCGCACCAACTGTTGTCACCTTCTCACCAAGCTGCTTGGCAATGGTCTTGTAGCCCATTCCAGCCTTGTGTAGGTCTACAATCTTGTCCCTGACATCCTTGGAGAGCTCTTTGGTTTTGGCCATGGTGGAAAGTTTGGAATCTGATTGATTGATTGCTTCTGTGAACAGGTGTCTTTTATACAGGTAACAAGCTGAGATTAGGAGCACTCCCTTTAAGAGTGTGGGGGTCAAATGCTTATTTCCCTCATTAAAATGCAAATCAATTTATAACATTTTTGACATGCGTTTTTCTGGATTTTGCTGTTGTTATTCTGTCTCTCACTGTTCAAATAAACCTACCATGAAAATTGTAGACTGATCATTTATTTGGCAGTGGGCAAACGTACAAAATCAGCAGGGGATCAAATACTGTTTTCCCTCACTGTACACTACACTATACACTATACTAAACACTACTCTACACTACACTATACACGACGCTATATACTACACCAGTGGTTCTTAACCTATACACTACATTATACACTACTATACACTACACTATACACTACTATACACTACACGCTACACACTACGTTACACACTACGCAACACACTACGCTACACACTACGCTACACACTACGCTACACACTACGCTATACATTACACTATACACTATTACACTATACACTACACTATACACTACACTATACACTACACTATACACTACACTATACACTACACTACAATATACACTACACTACACTCTACACTATACACTACGCTATACACTACACCAGTGGTTCTTCACCTGGGCGTGCGAGATGCCCTTTCTGTTGGTGGCGAGACACGGGCAGATTTTTGCTTTAAGAAAGTTAAAAATCATCGGACCGCAGAGCAAGCACGGGCACGTGAGTAACAACAGCTTTGTCGATGTATTTATTCACATTACATCCTGCGAGGCTGCAGTGAATGTGAAGAAACCACTGGTTTAGAGTGTTTGGCCTCTTTAAACATTTCCACGTAACCAGCCCACTTCGCTGAGTTCTTATTTGTCATCAATTTGTCGGAAAATAAAATAAAAAAAGACCGATGCAGTTCAGTGGAACTGACCAGGCGGACACTTCATTGCTGCAGTTCATGCGAGGTGTGAACACGTGGCGTGCCGTGCGCGTGTCGATACACGTTGTGGGGAGCGGTGGCGCAGTGCTTAGCGCATCGCGTTACGAACCCGGCTCACGGCGCCAGTGGCGATTATCTGAACCGGTCCTGGGACACTCCCCCTAGGTCGGCTCAGCCTCGAGTGAGTAACCCGGTGCGGCGTGTAGTAAACATCGCCACTGGGGAGCCAAAGGCGGCCGGGCGTGGTTGCTGGTCGCCCCAACCACCTCGTGAGCCGCGTGGGCCTCCATTAGTGACGAACAGCACTTGCCCTAACGGTCTGCTGAAGGCTATACGGGGGGTAGCTTTGTCTGTGTTGTTGGTATTCGTGTGGGGGTCTCGGTCTCTGTAGCCCAGAATTCACCTCCCGGTCACACGGAGACAACCGATGATGTGAAGACGGGGAGAGTGTACCCCCTCCCCTCGAAATCCTCCCCACCCCCCCCCCCACTATCCCCCCCCTCCACTAACCCCCCACCCCCTGACCCCCCCACCCATCCACCCACCTCCCCAGGCGCACCCTCCCCACTCGCCGTGCTCAGTCGGCAGTATTTACACATGAAGGCACGGGGCCGTCGGGACTCCCAGCTCCCGGCAATAGGAGGAGAAACCCGGCGTAACAGAGACAAAGGTCCCCGCCCATCCGTGTAGCCCACACAGACTGTCGGGGCAAGTGCCGTTAGTGAGCAGCAGCAGCAGCACCCTAACGAAGGCCGGCACGGCGCGGTGTCTACGAGGGGGTTGGTGGTGGTGGTGGTCAGAACCACGCACGCACGCGCGCGCGACCAACCGCGTTTGTCCACCCCCCCCTGCCCCCATCCAGTGGTTGTTGTCTACACGTGCGACGAGTCGACCTACACGTGCGACGAGTCGACCTACGCGTGCGACGAGTCGACCTACGCGTGCGACGAGTCGACCTACGCGTGCGACGAGTCGACCTACGCGTGCGACGAGTCGACCTACGCGTGCGACGAGTCGACCTACGCGTGCGACGAGTCGACCTACACGTGCGACGAGTCGACCGAGAGCGGGACCCAAGTTCACAACCGCTTCGGATGTGCGTCACGTAAAGTTGGCCGTGTGCGGGAATCGAACTTGGGCAGTCGCGGCTGCTCGCCCCCCCCCACCCCACACGCGCGCACTGTGATGGGGACGTGAACAGTGATCATAGACCGATGATGATGATGGTGGTGGTGGTGGTGTTGCAGCGGATGATGAAAATGACACTGATGCCGGCGTTTTTGTGTTGGTGGTGGTGGCGGCGGCGGCGGTGATGACGGAGAACGTCACAGGCCTTCGATATTGATGATGATGACACGGCTGCTGATTCTGCTGTTGCTGCTGCTGCTGCTGATGATGACGACGACGATGTTTGGGGTGTCGTCTGATGAGCGATCGATGCGTTGCGGAGGCGTCCGTGTTTAGGCGCAATCTCTGAAGCCCGCAGCGCGATTGAATATCAATCGCGCACTTCCAGAGTGGCATTCAAGGAGCGCCATTTGACTCACAGATTCACAGCTTTCTCCCGTCGTCTCTCTCTCTGTGTCTTCGTGTGTGTGTGTCTACATTCGGACTCTGTGTTTCTCTCTGTGTCTCTGTATGCGTCTCTCTCTCTGTGTGTCTTCGTGTGTGTGTGTGTCTACATTCGGACTCTGTGTTTCTCTCTGTGTCTCTGTATGCGTCTCTCTCTCTCTCTGTGTCTTCGTGTGTGTGTGTGTCTACATTCGGACTCTGTGTTTCTCTCTGTGTCTCTGTATGCGTCTCTCTCTCTCTGTGTATTCGTGTGTGTGTGTCTACATTCGGACTCTGTGTTTCTCTCTGTGTCTCTGTATGCGTCTCTCTCTCTCTGTGTCTTCGTGTGTGTATGTGTGTACCTCGGTCTCTGTGTTTCTCTCTGTGTCTCTGTATGCGTCTCGCTCTCTGTGTCTTCGTGTGTGTGTGTCTACATTCGGACTGTGTGTTTCTCTCTGTGTCTCTGTATGCGTCTCTCTCTCTCTGTGTCTTCGTGCGTGTGTGTCTACATTCGGACTCTGTGTTTCTCTGTGTCTCTGTATGCGTCTCTCTCTCTCTCTGTGTCTTCGTGTGTGTGTGTCTACATTCGGACTCTGTGTTTCTCTCTGTGTCTCTGTATGCGTCTCTCTCTCACTGTGTATTCGTGTGTGTGTCTACATTCGGACTCTGTGTTTCTCTCTGTGTCTCTGTATGCGTCTCTCTCTCTCTCTGTGTATTCGTGTGTGTGTGTCTACATTCGGACTCTGTGTTTCTCTCTGTGTCTCTGTATGCGTCTCTCTCTCTTTCTGTGTCTTCGTGTGTGTATGTGTGTACCTCGGTCTCTGTGTTTCTCTGTGTCTCTGTATCTGTCTCTCTCTCTGTCTCTCTCTCTCTCTGTGTCTTCGTGTGTGTGTGTACCTCGGTCTCTGTGTCTCTGTATCTGTATGTCTCTCTGTGTCTTCGTGTGTGTGTGTGTATCTCGGTCTCTGTGTTTCTCTCTGTGTCTCTGTATCTGTCTCTCCCT